AAATAATAGCAGTAGCAGATGATCTAAGTTATATTCATTATCATTAATAAGTGGAAGACAAATTGAGAGGTCGAGAACCCAATCGATATTTTCAAATCGCAGGAAACAAGCCAGCAAAAATACTTCGGAAAAGTAGGAAAATCCATTTATGCGTCATAAAAATAAACGATATCGTCTATTAATTATATTAGAAAAATTTAAGCTCAACCACTTTTCTCACTTTTGTCACTTGGAGTTATGGCTGCAAAAAAAAAGAGAAAAAAGGAAAGAGCAGCAATCATGTGGCACATGAACAATAGAAATATATTTTATTAAATTCTAAATTTCACAAAACTTTCAAAATTTCCCTTCAAACAATCATATTTTCAATTTTTTCTTTATTATAATGTTTTTAGCAAAAGAAAAGGAAAGGAAAAGATAAATTTTAGTATAGGAAAAAGGTAAAGAAGAAAATGGAAATGGAGAGAAAAGTTCAAGTAAATCATTGAGTAGTTTCCCTAACTTTTCAGATATTAGATAGAACTTTAAACAATAGAGATATACAAGAACAAGAACTTTGCAGTATAAATACTATAATCGTGAAGATATGAAAAGTTTATTTAGAAATTGAGAACTTAGTATCATTCAGAGAAAAGAAATAAATATTAGTGTTATATCTTATCATTGAAGCACGATAGTCCATATAAAAGAATGGAAGGAAAACAGCTTAAATCTAACTAACATTATCGATAAGCAAACACAAACATTCGACAACAAATAAAGGTATAGTTAGCTTTGTAACTGTGTTTTAAAATTTGATATTATCTCCAATTCCATTGCAATATTTGGATTTTTTTCCTTTCCTGAAGCTTCTTCATAAACGCTTATCAATTTTTCAATGGCTATTAATCCACTCTGTACTATTTCCTTTTTCCTTTGACCACTGCTTTTCGATGATAAACTTATGCAACACTGAAATAATTTTCGTTCACAGAAAAATATTAACATGCTTTGTGTACATTTCGTTCAATGTTGCGCTTCTCTTACTCCTCGAACTTATTCCAAACTACCAAGTAAAATGTTAGCAGATTTGATAAATAATAAAATTAGAAATAATCTCAACTACTGGTTAAAAATATCGCACATCCTTATTCACTAAAATATGAACAATGCTCGATTTTAGTAAGTTATAAGCTATAAGCCATGTACTGTTGACATTCTCATCGCCACTCATAATTTCCACACTGAGAATTTGCATAACACTCACCAAAATTATTCCATATAATGAACGAGAACACGATGGATTAGTACGAACAGCTTGTTCAAAATATGATTTCGCAAGTTCAGTATTTTCTGAACCACCTTGCGTGTAGCGTATTTCCGCAAGCCGCCGCAAATACAAACTATTATGTGGCTGAAACAGATGCATAACAAAGCAGACTTTCGAGTAAACTGTTTCTAGAAAATTTCAGGAAAGTTGTAAACAAAACTCAAAAGTTTAATGATGTTGATGATTATGAGGATTTTCCAAAACAAGTCCCTTATATTAGGGGGTATTCTAATACTGAAACCGATTCAAAAACATAAAACAAACTAACACTAGATAAGACAAGTTCTTCCATACAGTGTGCTGCATGTGGGTAATCACTCTCTTGCAAGTACAAATCAGAAAGCTCCAGCCATGCTTCCGTATCAGAAATAAAAGTTTTCAAATATTCATTCAATTCTCGAATTGCTTCCTGTCGATTACCTTGCGCTTTCAAAATTGCAATTTTTCGTTTGCGATATGACTGTAGAAAGAAACAGATATTTATTTGAATTATTAAAATAAGCTAGGAATCAATGAATTAATGAACAAAAAAATTAACAATAATATCGTTCAACGACGTTCTTACGATAACCATTTGCTATTTTTCTAATATTTTTACTCGAAAGTGAATAAAAAATAAAAATAAAAACCACCGTTTGCCCAATGATTGGACCATTTTGAAGAAAATTTTGATAGTTTTTCTTTTCTTTAGTAGAAAATGAAGGGCTTTCATATTTCTCTATTTCATATTTCTCGTTTAAGTTAAAGGAAATCATTACCATATTTGTTGGATCTGATTCAATAAGTTGTTCATATAAATGCGTCGCGCTATCGTACCTACAACAAGTAAATTCATTAATTACGAAAATGAGCACGAATTTTAACGATTTAATCAAATATTTTAAGAACATTGTGCTTGTAAAATATGCAGTTATCAAAGTTGCATGTAACGGAAGAATTAAAAATTGTAATTGAAAGCACTTATTTTAAAAATTGATATACCAGAGTCATTTTTTAAGGAGTGACTCATTTACTAATTGTCTATTTGCTTCTCCGACGAAAAAAAATAAATTTTAAGTAAAAAAATAAATCTCTTACTTGGAAAAGTTTACTCATCTAACTGTGAAAAGAGGTTTATTACTCAAATTGTATCATTTATTCCCATAGAAATTCCAGCTTATCGAATTTTACTAAAAAAAGGTATGAAAAAAAACTTGTTACCTCAAAATATATCATTCCTTTCAGAAATCTCTGTTTATTAATTTGACTAAAGTCACCTTTATCAGTCATCGGTCAAAGCTCACAGAATCAGGGAAAACTGATAAATTACAAAATAAACCGTTTTAAAGCTTCAAGACGCATTGCTTGTAGTTTCAAGACTCGATTGCTTCGTGGAAATCTTTCTTGTAATGCTTGTATACATTCCATTACAACATCAGTTCTGGCTAAATCTAATGCTGCTATGCAAACCTGAAATTAAACCACATTTATCATACACACATTATGCCAAATTGTACTGTTCCAAACTTTCAATTCTTTTAATTCAACCTTCAATTCAAACCATTAATTTCCAAATCAGACATTTTTAAGTTTTGAAATTAAAATCCCTTTATATGAAAAGTTCCATCACTGTCATGACCCACAAAAGAAAAAGAGAGAGACAGAAAAAGAGCATTTATTTTTATTTATAGAATTTGACCGGAAAGATTTCCGATCGTATTAAAATTGCTAAAATTTCAATTTGACATAAAAAATGCCATTTAGCTACAGCAATATAAACGAAATTATAAAAGCGTTCAGCTGTTTTCTGAAAATTCAATTCATCAAGTGAATGACAAAATTTTAGCTTCACCTGTTCATAAATAAGCCATAATTCATCACCCAATGAACGAGGATGACGACTTAAAACATGCTCCCATAATTCTACCGTTTCCACTGATCGACGTGCATGTTCTTCACGCCATTTACGTAGCACATTTTTTGCTTCTAAAGAATAATTAAATTTCATTTATAAAGTAAAAACATTGAAGAAATCCCTATCTAAACCATAATTTTACTAAAAATACCAAATTTTTTCCAATTAAAATTTAACCAATGGTCAAACTCACCATCAAATGAAACACAGGTCCAATCAGTCATCGCAGAAAATAAAGCCCTAGATAGGATTAGATAGGAATAAAGATAGGAATTTGAACAATAGGCCCTTTTTCGTACACCAAATAAATTGAAGTGTTATGATGTATTTCTTCGGTTACTATCTAGAAGTTTTCATGTCCAGTTCATTAACTGCAATTTTGTCATCATTCAAGAATGTAGCAGATCATGGGAAATCTCGGCAAACAACATCAAACTGAATTTCCTTTTCTCGTTTTTTTTGTTTTATACTCTGGGGAAACTAATACTTATTACATTCAATAAAATTTTAAATTTTAATTCTACATTATCAATTTGAATTTGGATAATAGGACAAAAGTTTACCTTCCATTTCAAGTCATTAAAAAATACATCTTTCCGAATTTTTCCCTTCAATTTTGTGCGGTGCAATAACCGGAACAAATTATGAGTGAATTTCAATGAGAAAATTCAAGATATTACCAAAGAAAATATTCCACTTCAGTTATTTTTAGCTAGTTGGACCTCAAATCTATCGAAATAAAAAATGTCGAACAACCATTAATTTGTTTAATTTAACAACCAATTTGTTTACTGTTTACTTGTTTACGGTAATGCTACTGATATTTTTCTAACATTAAATATCAATTAACGTGTGACTATTCTAACCTTTTTAAAATACATAAACAACTGTATATCGACGGTTCCAAATACAAAGGGATATTCTTATGATCAATGATCTTCATCTGCAAGTAACAAGTGCATTTGACATGTACAACCTGATTCCTAGATTATGAGAAAAAAATTGAAACAAATTTTTGGATAACTTAACAAATTGTTAATGTATCAGTAAACGAATTTAAATAAAGAGAACAAAGTAGAAGAGATTGCTTGCAGAAGCAAAAAACAAAAAAATAAAAATAAAATAACAAACAAGTGAGAAGATAAAAAGTTTAACAAAGAGCAATCACATTTTTAATACATGCAACGATAGACCAAAATTAATAGTTCGTGAAACAGTTCACAGATATTGAGTTAAGGCTCAAATAGATGGTAGAAATAATAATGTTAAGACACAAAAAAATCGAGGTCAAAAGCGGAGATATACAGAAAACACAAGCTTTAAAATTTAAACAGAATAAGATAAATAATTTGAAGCGTCTCAATGAGAGAAAAACAAAGATAAGTCTTAACCTTTCACTGGAGAAATTATATGAGGAAATTATTTCAGATTAAATAAAATTGGTACAACGAAGTGTAAAAATTGAGCTTCCTGAAATATAAAAGTAAAATAAATAACAAAATACAAATGGTGCTTAATGAAAAGAATGAAACACGTTTATTTCAGATCAATTTCAAGCACATTCAACCCATTGATGGATATCTCCATTCCGTTTGCGGAATCGATGTTTCTTTTATACAAAGCGGAGATACCCACCGCAAAACATAATGCGGCCCACCAGCTTTATCGTTTGTCCCTGAAAAAGTTTTACATGAATGAGGAAAAATGCCACTGTCAAAATACAAAACTTACCCTAATAGTTGAGTGATCCTGCTAATGATAAATGAAAAAAATTGAAAGGCAACGCTTCGTCAAATATAGAATCGGAAGATTAAAACCAGTAGTAAGGTGATTAACGGTTTTTGCGGAAGCAAACAGTAAAATTCGGATGATGAAAGCTAACCGCTCATTCGTGCTCCACCGAAAGGTTGCTGCCCAACTACAGAACCGGTTGACTTGTCATTTAGATACATGTTTCCAACAGCATGTCGAAGTATATCGCGAGCCTTATACAAAAATTCCCTGGAACGGTCCGAACATAAAAGACCATAACACTAAATTTAACAAATGTGAACTAAGAAATGCCAAAATTTTCACAAATAATGACGGAGACATCACATTTCAACTTTAATTATTCGACCTTTCAACCCAACTTATTCTTTTAACTATCGCAGAATATGCGAAGAGCATTGGAAGGACGAATCAAGTTGAACATCATCTTCTGATGGCACTACCACGAACAAATTTTAATCCCTTCTAGATGCACGCTATTTACTAGTTTACTGTCAGTATGTTCATAAACTTCAAATTACTCTCAAATTATTATAACAATTTCATAGCATCCAAGACTTACCTATCCTCCGAAAATACAGCTCCAGTGAGACCGAATACCGTTGCGTCTTTCAGTTTCTTTACAATCTCTAATGCTTCATTGTCTTTATACACATATGCAGTCAATATAGGTCCAAAAATTTCCTAAAATGAAGTTTATTCTAATGCTTTTAAAGGCAAGTTTCATCACTGAAAAAGTAAAATCAGCAATGAAATGAGTTTCTAAAACTATGACCTGAAATTTACACGCTATTCTTTGTATGAAATAAAGACCTATTTCCTACATGACAATTAAAATTATAACATTAGTCAGAAAGCCTCGCAAGGAAACGGAAGAACTACATGAACAGAAAGAATAAACATGGAATTGCATGACAGATAGTATTTCTCGGTAACGAACCCCTGTGATAGCAAATCATTACAATTTGCATAGAGTTTAATCTTAAATATACCTCTCTAAGTAATTTGGAGTCCCATTCATCAACTTGTACGAGAGTTGGCTGAATGAAATATCCCTTACTGTCATCATATGTCCCACCAAAAATGATCTGTGCCCCATCTGCACCTGATTTGGCATAATCAATATATGAACTGATTGATTTGAAAGCCTTTGCATCAATTACCGCTGTCATGAAGATCGAGCCATCACGTACCTAAAACAGCTCCAAAACCAGTTTCAATTTCTGTCAACTTCATTCTTAACAGTTTCTATTTGTTATAATTACACGCAAAGGGAATGCTATTTCCAAAGATAACACCTTAAAAAAAATGAAGTAAACTTCAAGGCTGTAACATAAGTACAGAATTTTAAAAATTAGGAAAAAAGCTACTAATGAGCTAAACACTTACATCTCCAACTTTGAGTTCTTTTTGTATAGCTTCAAGTTTTGCTTGCAAAGCAGGCCACAAACTTTCAGGCACATAAATTCGTGAACATGCACTGCACTTCTGCCCTTGGTATTCGTATGCAGAACGAATTGTACATGGTGCCACAGTGTCCAAATCCGCTGATGGATGAATAAAATGGAAGTTCTTACCGCCACATTCTATAAACATTATTCCATTCCAGTAAGCCTCCTCCGAATTTTACAATATTCAGGAATATCTGCTGTGAAATTTTCAATCTTTATATGCTTTTGAGGGAAAACCCAAACTTGGTTAGTAATAAAATGAAATGAAGGAGACTAAACAAAAACGCTAAGTCATTTCTAGTCTTTTAAATGTCACTGCTTATTTTAAATTTTAACTAGTTAAACCTTCCTTATGATCTCGATTAAAAACAAGCAAACAGACCTCCAATTAATCTTGGGAATGAAATGTAAGTGTCCAGATTTTCGGCAACTTTCTTCCACAAATACTTAAATGTTGGCATCGATCCAGTGAAATTGAGAGCAGAAAAATGGGGAGAAGAAGTGATAGTACTACCAAAAATGGGACCATCGGCCGGCAGGAATGAAATAACGCCAGCCGGAAGACCTGCAACGTAAAATATTTCCAACTGCTGACAATGTGGTACAGATTACTCAGAGCAAACCCTGTTTTGAAATATTTAAGTTTCACAATGCTAGCTATAAACAATCAATAATCGATAATGCTTACCAGCTTCTTCTAAAGCTTCGTAAATAAAATAATTACTTAATACAGCAGTACATGATGGTTTCCATAATACAGCATTCCCCTAAAATAATCGTTTAGTTCATCTTTGATTATATCAGCAAGAATTTTGTGGTTACGACAAATAAATATATTTGAATTAAACATTACGCAAAATAATAATTTACCATCATAGCTGGTGCTGTAGACAAATTACCGCCAATTGCTGTGAAATTAAATGGCGCAATAGCAGCAATAAATCCTTCGAGGCTCCTATAAATAAATTTTGTACTAACAATCAAGTTCAAAACTTCAAAAATTTTACAAAATTTCTGAAATAAATGGGGAATTAAACCTAAACTACTACGATTTAGTCAAATACAAATCTGAAAATGAAATCATATAATGTTAATTTTTTTGCCCAGATAGACGATCAATTTCTGGACTATACGTTAATTCTAATTTGGAAACGGTTTGGACTTTTATTTTAAACTTTAACTTGATGATATGAATCAATTACCTGAAAGTCATTGTATTAGTGACATTTTTCACTGAAATCGGCTGATATTTTTCCAACTCCAAGGCAAACTTAGCATTAAATCTGAAGAAATCAACCAATTCACAGGCTGAATCAACTTCAGCCTGTACAATATTTTTTCCTTGTCCAAGCATCGTAGCAGCATTGAGCTTCATACGATATTTTCCAGCACATAAGTCGGCCGCATGTAGAAAGACGTCTGCTCGTTCTCTGTAAAATAGATAAATTAGAGAAGGAATTCAAATTCACACCATAACGAAATTCTTCTATTTTTTGAACCTTTTATATCATGACTAAATTATCCCTGACGGGATCCAATGACATCAAAACAATTGTAAAAGATTACGCCCGATGTTGATTATGCCCGACAACATCTGCAGCATAATCGATAATCAAATGAAGTAAGACTGATATGTCATGTTTTAACAGATTTCCGACATTCACTTTGCTTCAAGCATGCAAGCAAGATTTCCAACATTCAGTTCGCTTCAAGCATGCAAGCAAGATTTCAAATATTCAGTTCGCTTCAAGCATGGAGCATAATTATACCATTCTCAAGCAATATTTTATTTTCAAAAGGATCAGTAGAAAACCTTAATGACTTGCGTTCCCAACTTTGTTTAGCACTTAATCCTACTCGAATTGCTTCGTTAATTTGTTCTGCAGTAGCATGTGCAAATCGTGCAATAACTTTCTGATGATCTGAAGGCTGAAACACTTCTACGTTTCACTTGAAAATGATAACACATGACATTGGTAAAAAGAAAAATTTGAAAAGTTAACTTTTAACAAACTTAAAATTGCGACTAATATTCTATTATTTCGTGCGAAATATTTCCTAGGAGGGGACAGGTAGGGATGAAATGACATGGTGTGACAATATTCCAGATGTAACCTTTGCACTGTCACCACAAAAGCGAATAGATCCTTTTGTGAAGTTTACCAAACTTTATAAGCTGATAATAGTCCGAATCTTTTGGGTTCCATCCGCTAACTTTCACGATCAACCAAAAACTAAACAAAATACTAAACAGTTAACCTTGAAACTGAAGTAGAATTTGATATAAGTTTTTGCAAAAAAAAAATGCTTCTCACCATAACTTGTTTTTTATCAAGATTTTCCGAAATCTTCTCATTTCCGATCACCAATGGAACATTTGTAGTTGTACCGGCTATTTCGGATATTGCTTTTTCAAGAGCTATCCTTTCTGTACTACCCTTTCGATATGTTAATACCGGTTCATTTTCTGGGTTTTTCATGAATTTTTCCGATGTTAAACCTGACCCACTGAAAACGGAATATACTATAAACTTCAAACGATTATAATAAGTATTAAACAAGGAAAAAAAGAGTGGTAAAAAGAAGAAAAAAAAATCACTCCCTAATACATACAAACTTCTTCGATAATAATAAAATTTCACATTAAAATCACTCAAATTTATTACCTTGCTTTCATTTTACTTCAACTTTAATGAAAGTTAAATTATTTTGCCAGGAAGAAAAAAAAAAGAATACTTCTATTCTTTACCATAGTATTCATATTTACAACAGTATAATTTAATGTCCATATTCCAACTTATAATAAGTAATCCTTGGAATAATTTTGAAGCAATGATCAATAACTAATTAATTGATAAAGCGTAAAATGTGTAATGCATTACCTGAATGTGGATGCTTGACGAAATAGCCAATTCCATTGACTTACTGTAAGTGTGCCAAAATTATATCGAAGCATTTGTATTATGAAATGCTGGAAATACAAGAATAAATCAAACAAACACAAAATAAATAAAACAAATATGTTCAAAAATTACAGCAAAAAAAAAAAAGTGGAAAGGTTGATAAAGGACAAAGAACAAAGAACAAAGATCAGACTAACATTTCAGCAATGAATTTTGCTTTTTGTCCAATCAATACCAACCATGAAGAGCCAACACAGCCGCTCTTCCTCTTTTCACTCCGATCATATGTTTGATGACATTTAATGAGGATGGAAGTTGGTCAAATTCACATATTGTTGTTATCATTATCATCACTTCTAATCAATAATTAATAGTAGCATAGAAATGATTACTTAATATAGATATAGATTGCCAACATATTCTTTGATATCTTATCATTCTCGATATCTTATCATTCTCAAATCTGATATCTTATCATTCTCAAATGTCGATAAATAAAGTAATCCCTCCTCTTTGTTTTTTTCCTTTTATAAGCATTATTTATATTTTGCAATTAATAATTAGCCATTATGCAAATTTATCTCGGCTGAGATTTCGAAATACCACTCATAAGAGACAACTTTTTGGAGTTTTTTTTTTGCGAAAGATTCTCGAAATTTTAATGAGTAAATTAGATTAGAATAAAATATTGTTGCTAATAATCAATAACATTTGTTGTAAATTTTAATTACAATACAATTAACCAGTACCTGTACGATTGAATTTGCATAATAAATGAGGAAAAAAAAAAACGAAAAATATTATAATATTAATAGAAGAACGATTTTCAAATACTTTCAAGTATTTGAGTGCTAAATACTCATTAAAAAAACCCATTAATTTATTAATTAAGGGGGAAAGGAAATAAAAAAATTAAAGCGCCGACTAAAGTTTAATTAAAGCACACATTTATTCTATCATTTCGAATGCCTAATTAAAGTACTCAAATTTAAATCATCGATTTTTTTTCCGACAACCGATATCTCTCTTATCGATTTATCACTTTTAGTTAAAGCGTCTGATTAAAGTGTTAGTTAAAGCTAATTAAAGCATACGTTTATTCTATGAATTTCATTAACTACTTTTCTAATGGTTAAAAAAAAAAAATGCCATCATAATGCAAAAGTGTAAAAAAAAGAATCATTAAAAAAAATTTATCAATTTATTAAGTGATAATTGGAGGATTGATTAAAGTAAGGCAATAATCATCGTATGTATGATATGATAAGGCAAAGTTTTGACCGAATTTTTTTCTTTATTAAAAATTATAACAAATATCACATGAATATATTCCAAAATCTAAAAGGAACGATTAAAAAATGGGAAGACGATGAAATTTTAAGTAATATTATCAGAATCAGTTGTTACAGAATCATTAATAGCCTGGACCAAGATACGATATTCCACACCAGCTAGCCATTTGGAATTTATTACTTCATCAATTGTCAACCTCTTCTGTGGCATTGGATGAAGTATGTCAAATATTAATCGTTTGGCATCGATACTTATTTCTGTTGTACGTCGATAGATTATTCTAAATGATTTATTTTGGAAAACGTTTCAAATAGTATTAATTTAAAAAAAGCAATTTCAATTAATTGAAATTAAGTAAGAAAATAAAACAAGAGGAAAAATTAAGTAAAAACTATTGGAAATATTGTATGAAAATGAAAAAAAAAAAACAAATTTGGATAAAAATGCGAAATCGTATTTTTACATTATTAATTTCAAATAAATTAATTTAAAAAATTCAATAAATTACAAAATTTAACAGAAAAAATTGATTAAAAAGTTGTCAACAGTAAATAAAATCGAATATATAATTTAATAAAATTTTAAAAACAAGAAATGAAAACAAAATTTGTGAATACTATGAATACTTGCAAAAAAGTCCTTAACTTATAAATTATCTGATAAAATATATTTAAATCTTGTTGTCAATCATTGTAATAATAATTATTCTATGACATAAATGAAGTAATACCAGTAATCAAGTACCAAACAAATAAATTGTAAAAAGAAAACGAAATATTCATATCAAATATTATTTTTAAATACTAAAAATTTAAAAAAAATAAAAGGTTGAAATATAAAAAATATTAACAGAAATAGAAAAGAAGTGCTAAAAATATTTTCCTAAAATTTTTCAAAATAGAAATTTTCAAAAAAAAATAATTCAATACAGAATAAATTTGTAATTATAATATAATTCAGCATTAAAAAAGAATATAATTAAACATATGATTCAAACTATTACTTCAATTATAAACTTGAAATTTAATTCAAATTTGAAATATAATATGTGTACACACATACGTAGAGAATTTTAAAATTTCAAATATATTTAAATTCTAATATATTCAAATTAAAGGGTCTTTTTTTTTAAATGACCTATGTTGCAATTGCCTTTCCAACATTTTGCGTAAATTCTTATCATCATATGGCATCATTCCTGTTGTCATCACATACAGTACAATTCCCGCACTCCACATATCTGATAGATATCCATCATATGGTTGAGCACTGCAAGAATTTTCAAACTTTTTATTACTCAATACATTTTCCTATATTATTGAAATCCTCAAAGAGCAGTAATTTTATTTCATTTTATCAAAATATATTTAAATATCAATAAGTGAACAGTTATCAGGCAATTTTTTTTTTCCATCCATTTTTAATCTTTCAAAATTTCTTAACGATTCTGGAAGAATATTAACTTTAAAATTAGCAGTTGTACTAATATATACAAGAAAATACATGGCCTAAAGAATAACTAGGCCATTTATTTTAAAGCATAGCAAGATTACGACATGAAAAATGTAGTTAGACCATTGTTCCAAAAATATATGGCCTAAAGCATGCTATGCTATTGTTTCAAAAAATATATGGCTCAAAACATAGCTGGACTATTGTTTCAAAAATAAAGCATTGCTAGATTATTGTTTCAAAAGTAGGTAGCCTAAAACATAGTTGGATTATTATTTGAAAAATGTAATTCGATAATTGTTTCAAAAATATATGGCCTAAAGAATTAGCTAGACTATTGTCGCAAAAAAAAAAATATATGGCTCAAAGTATAGCTTAGCTAAACTATTATTTCAAAAATATATAACCTGAAGAATAGATTAGAATAGATTAGACTTATTTGAAAATTAGAATTAAACGATAGATTGATCAAACCGAATAATTTCTGGCGCTAAATATGCTCGTGAACCACAAAATGTTTTCGATTTTTCGCCAATTTTCAACAATCGTGCAAAGCCAAAATCGGTAATTTTAACATTTTCGCATGAATCAAGCAATATATTCTCACATTTGATATCACGATGTACAATTTCCATTGATTTTAAATACTTTAGACTTTAAAAATTTTTCAAATTTTGAAAACAACATTTACATTTCACTTTCAAGCTTTAAATTTTAAGATGTTAATTGTAATTAATTAGCATTAATATGAAGTACATAGGTTTGATTAAATTGATACCTTCATCGCTTCAATAAGTTGTCGGAAATGTATTCTCCCCTCTCTTTCATTAACTTTACTTTTACGTCTTATTTTTTGTAATAGATCACCTTTACTTGTATAATCTTGTATAATACAAACATATGGTTTTCTTTCAATTACCTGAAAATTCGATAAAAAGAAAAAAGAAAGTTTTTTTTCCAAATCAAAACTTAAAAATTTATTTAAAAATAAAATAAAATTCGTTTTATCTTTAAGAAAATTAAATTTTAATTTAAATAAATGAAGCAATTTTTAATCTTTTGCAATGTTTTTCTGCAAAAAAAGAAACACACACACACATAAATAAAACTTTTTTTCATTTTTTCTTTTAATTCAAGAAATTACTTCATAAACTTTGATAATATTATCATGCTTTAACTTTCGAACAAGTTCAATTTCACGTGGTAAGCATTTCCTCGTGTATCTTAAATCTTTCCTGAAAAAGCATGTTTGTTTTATCACTGATAATTTATGAGGAGGGAAATGATAAGGGCATGAAAATATTTGTTAGTGCCTCGAGAAGTTTGGTTGATAATATTTAGAATGATATGATAAGTGATGATGAAAGGAAATGGCAAAGTTAAGGTTTAATTGCTCCCTTATCATATTAAAAATAAATATCCGATTAATGATAAACTAATCAGGAATATACGAGCAATCACGAATATTCGGGTAATGATAAATTAATTAGAAATATCCGGGTAATGATAAATTAATTGGAAATATCCGGGTAATGATAAATTAGAAATATCCGGGTAATGATAAATTAGAAATATCCGGGTAATGATAAATTAATTAGAAATATCCGGGTAATGATAAATTAATCACAAATGGTTGGTTAGTGATAGAAAGTGAATAACCTTGTATCAATTATTTTTATAGCTACCATTTTGGCCAGCACATTGCACCAACTTTTCTTTACAATGGAAAATGTTCCTTTGCCTAAAGAAAATGATTGAAGGAAACAAAAGATATGGAATAAATTGGAATAGATCCGGTAAGAGTTTAACCGGATTAGACTAAAACTATGAACTAATAAAGGTAAAATTTTTCAGGGAAATTTCTGGAAATTTCATGATGGCATAAAATAAGCAATACATTCCGGTTATGGACTGGAAGATGAAGAAGTGTTAAAAGTAATCGATGATAAATTTCTTTGTAGAACTCAAATATCTTACCATATCACTGTGCTGTTCTTTGCTAGAATGATTTTGCCAAATTTTTTCGAATGCAAAAAAAAAAAACAATGTGAAAGTGCAAAGGTCAAGGGGATGAAGGAATGAAGAAAGAGGTCACCGAGATTCTCGTAGAAGGTAACCCCTCGAATTTTCATTTCATCAGCCATTTCAGGCGTCAAACTTCCAATAATCTTGTCGTCTATCTTATCTCTGTTTTTATTATAATCTATATCTTTTGTATCTTTATTTCTTCCCAATGATTTCTCCTTTTCATCCATTTTTACTTTCTCGTCTTTCTCATCCTCTTCTACTCGCACTGTTATTTGATTTTTCTTTTCTTTTCCATCGACTACCTGTGTTCCATCATTCCTTTCATTTTTTTGTATTTACTCATTTTCTTCATCTTTTCTTTTTTTTTATTATCTTTCCACTATTTAACCCTCTCCTACTACTTATATCTCTTTTTATTTTCACTTTTTTCTCTCCTTTCTCTAATTCTTCATCACTTTCATTCCTCGTCAGATTTCATTCTCTTCCATTCTGTTTGGCTTTCTCTTTTTTTTATCCTCTTCTATCCCACTACTTTTGTCATATCTCTTTACCTTTTTCTCCTTGTGATCTTTTTTCATCGCTTCTTTGTTGTCCCCTTTTATTTCCACCTCTCTTTCGCTCTCCTCGTATTTCGCCATTATCACGAAAGAACAAGGGAATTATACCTGTAATGAATTCGATCATTCGAATGTTCCAGAATACAATCCGATTTTCTGGAATACTCGGATGATAAACTTTTCAGTGCATTGTAATCCGGAGAAACAGTAAACTCACGGATACAATACAGAATATATTTTTCCCAAAAATACGGGAAATCAGAGCAATCATTTTACCATTTCCTCAAAGATTAATTCGAAATGCAAAATGATTATTTGATTTTAAATTAACGGAATTCAGTTATTAATTTCGAGATTTAGTTTTTCATTCATTTCATTCCCAACTGTTATACTACTTATTTATACCATCCAATTTCAAATTTTCAAAATTCATCAAAACAATAATTGGATGCATCCTTCGATGAATCCTCCAATTTTTTTTTTAAATTTCATTCATTCCTTTTCGTTTCCAATTTTCAGTCAAAATTAAACAATCATTAAAATACCGTTTTGAAGTTATCCGACAAGGAATTTCACAAAAAACGTATAGTGAAGCGATTGAAATAGCAAAAAATACGCGTGGAAAATGAAAATCACATATTTATAGCTGAAATTTTTGCATAAAAAAGACGTATTTTAAAAAAATTTGCATATTTGAAAAATTTTAATATGCAAACTTCTTTAATTTCAATTTTTAAATTTAATTTAAACAAAAAATGAACGGATTGTTTTGATAAATGCAAGGATTTTAATTTTAATAATGTATACATTACTGTTACCTAAATGTAGATGAATTTGTTTTAAATTACAATAATTGAAGTTCAAAAATTTCAACTCTTCGTATTAATTAACAAACTTAATTAGCAAATTTAGCCTTGCTAAATTTGAATGGGAAAGTAAGTATGATATTTAAAATCAATGAAATATGTTAACTGTTTAGAGCGAATCAAAGAAATAATCTCTGAAGATTTCTTAAGAATCTGTTAATCTCTTAAGAAATAATCTCTCTCTCTCCCTAAAAATCAACAATTCAGTTAGTAGGGAGAGAGAGAGAGAGAGGAGGAGAGAGAGTA